GGCTGGCTGGGGAATTCTGGGAGTTGAAGTCCACACAGCTTAAAGTGGCCAAGGTTGAGAACCACTGGTCTAGACATTTAGCCTGGCCCCAGGAGTTGTGTCTTACAAATACTGTTTACAAGACATGCAGAAAATGTTAATGTCTCGCAAAGCATGCAGTTTCCTAGATGGCCACAAAAAAAGTGTTCATTGCTGAATGCAAAATTTGCTCCAGGACAATCTTGATTCTTTTTCAACCCTGTATCTTTTTGCTTTCTGCAAAAGCCAAGATTGCAGTTTTAGATTGTCCTTGTTGTTGTTTTAAGTAGCATGAAATTCATTCTTTCTGGAATGAGTGGTGACAACACTGCGCTCAGAGGCTGTTTTCCATATCTGTAAATACTGATTGTGAGAAAGAAGGCAACCGTTTGCATCTTAACTTACTTTTGTACATTCATAATCTTGTCCTCAAAAGTATTATGAAATAAAAACAAAGTTATGTGTACGTATGTTATCTCAGAGGATATTTCACAGGTTATCTGTTGCTCTTCTGGTATATTGGATATAATTGCCTACCATCTAGCCACCATTCATGCTCAAAAATAATTCCAGTTTCAAAAATTGATCATGGCATGGGCTGCAAATTCTCAGGTTGGAAGAGAGAAAAAGGAGACTCTTTCTCTCCAGCTACCACATTCCCTAAACATTCTTCCCCATTTCTGCCCTCTTTTGATTCATAAATCCTTTTACTTTGTGTTATTTTGTGATTTGCAAAAGAATCTTGACAAAGAGGGAGCAGAACAGAAATAAACAGCTGCTGTTTTTACAGAGGGCGAGTGAGATTCGCGATCCCACTCCAATCACTGCTCGTTGGATGAATTAATGCTAGCGTCACTTAAATTTCTATTCGGCCTGCTAATATTTCAAAAGAGATCTACGTGGTTTTCTAAAACCAATGATGAAAAATAGTAGCCAATTCAATGTATTTATTGTGGGGGAGATGGGCGGGGGGAGAAATCCAATAAATAAAATAAATAAATTTATTTGTTAGATTTAGGCCCAGCCTTTTATTCAGGAGCTCACATTGATGTAAATCATACCCCCTCCTGTTTTTCCTAACAAACTGACTGGCCTAAATTTACCCCATACACTTCTATGGCTGAAAAGAATCTGGATTTCCCCATTGCTTATTTAACACCTTAACCCAGCAATGCTGGCCGGGGAATTCTGGGAGTTGAAGTCCACACATCTTCAAGTTGCCAGGCTTGAGAAACATTGCCTTACCACTACACCACACTGGCTGTCCTTCTAAATTAATTAAATGCCAACCATCTATAATTTTTTTATTTTGTACAGTTCTGACTGGGGGAAAAAACAGGTCTTTTTATCCCTTAGAATTCTATTTGTGAGAAATGTTAGGGCATCTGCTTGGTGACTGCCAATCTCTCAAAAAGGGATTTGCTCTGAATATACTGTCCAGTCTTGGCATTTATGATATTGTCAGAACTGGAATGTACAAAGTTTGGGCTTATGTACAGGTGTAAAGCATGGAATAATAAAAATATGAATTAGGCCAAAAGTTCAATGAGGTGGCATGTACAAAGTTTGGGCTTATGTACAGGTGTAAAGCATGGAATAATAAAAATATGAATTAGGCCAAAAGTTCAATGAGATGGCATTCAGAATGAGGGGGAGAGGGTAGGAAGAGTTAGGGTTAGTCTGCCTAAGAC